CCCCCCCCCCCCCCCCCAACCGGGGAAAACATTGATTTGTTTTTATATGTCGTAAAAAAAAGCTCCTGTTCAGTCCATTTAAGTCATCGTTAGAGTTGCGGTGAAAGAGATTTGACCTAATAATTATTAAGTCATAATGATATAACTATAACATGTATTATTACATCTTAGGTGACTTTTGAATCCCAAAGCATTTTTTTAATACTGTAAAATCCTGTGAACACGGATGTAATCACCAGCATCAAGTAGGCACGACCGGTTGGAATGGATTACATGCATACTATGCATGTAATCCAGAAATGCATAGGCATAATACATATGTACACAACCCGTATCAGCCTTCTTATACAATATAGTATAGATCTACATGTACAGAATGACAAAATACTTCATTAATAAAGATTGTTTCGTACTAGCCAAGACGGAATGACTAGAGAGGCCACGGGCTGGATCAGAAGTTGTACTTTTTTATGTGCACTTGCTTAGGAGACGAGTTCATTTTCTTATCTCTTTTTGTCAAGAGTTCCAACAAATAAACTAAAAACCACAGAATTCTGTGACTAAAAACTTAAAAGAAAACCAATGTTATTATTGTGTTGACAGTTGACAGTGACTGGCGACATCGTGAAAGCCAACTTTGACATTGCGTGTTGTGAACGCTAGACCCAGTGGGTGTGAATCAGGTATCGAATGGTGACACAATTTGATATGTAGGCCAGATCTAATCTAGAATCTAGATCTAGATTCTAGACTATGTTACTATTTACTATTTCTTTTAAATATATAATTGTCTTATGGCTATCTGACCTGTTCTTCAACAAAGTCCAAAGTAAGTAAAGTACTGTAAAGGTCGAGTAGCTCCCCCTGAAACTACAGTCATCATAGATCTAGGATCTAAATTTAGATTCTAGATATTCTAGATTCTAGTTAGAAATCTCTTCTATATAGTCTATAGTCTAGTATAGTCTAAGTGATGATAGTTTAGTGGATGACTTAATGCCAAGAACACTGATTAATTTCACAAGTTACAAACAAGCTTCTTAACCCTTAAGATTCTGGTCCCTGAAATGTTTGCCCGATAAGCGCAATCCCACGCGGCGCTCCACAGCTGGTCCCTGATCAGTCGTCGTCCCGCGCGGGCCACGCATTTCGTTTAGTGCGGGGTCTGCATCTGTGTGCTAAAATGTGTGTGTGTCAGTCTGCTTGTGCCTGTGTGTCCATCTGGAACTTACTGCATTGTTTTGCAACGCGAGGCGTTGGTAGAGATAACAGAGCGTCGGTTGAGACGTTCATCCAATGAAATATGAGCATTTTAACCCAGTTAGACACTTGATGGACTCGAAAGGATATTCAGGAAATAGGACTTTCATCTTTCAATGCAAACACCTTTCCTCACTTTTCAAACGATCTAATTCTTACACCAAACGTTGTTTCCTGATGTAAATAAATCATATTTGGTGTTTTTTTAACCATTGTCCTACCAGAGGGAGAAATTTGAGAGCAACTGAATAAAAAAAATATTCGGAAATTATCCCATTTTTTCCCTCTTTCGAACGATTAGTGTCCGCGAGTAACGAACTACTCGTTGGCACTACCCGCAAACGAGTGGACGTGTAACAAACCGGACACATCGGACAGAGACAACAGTTCGTTTAGCGAGCGAGCGGACGGGCGGACCGAGAGACTCCATACATTCGAGCGGACGGACGGACGGGGGAGACTCCTTCCATTGCATACAACTTACAACCCCCCCCCCCCCCCCATAAATTTAAAAAATCACCCTCCTGCCTCACATTGTAGCTAGGCGTTCATGGCGGAAATTTCTCTCCCCCCCCCGGGGTTTGCGATAATTGGAACGTACACAGTGTGACCCACGCACAAGGTGAAAGGTTACACACATGTACTTCGTCACCAGCCTCTCTCACTCCCTGTGGCACCGCTAGGCTAGTGGCTGGAAACATTAGGCCTAATTAACAATAGACCGTGGGTCTAACCTCACGTCGAGTATCTCGTCTGCTAGAGTTTGTCCGTTTGCCCGCCCGCCCAGTGAATAAAATTGTGGAGCGGACCCAAAAAACAAACTGGCTTGAGGTCCGCAATCCGCTCGCTGAGAGAGTCAAATTGTGGAGCGGACCCAAAAAACGAACTGTCTTGAGGTTCGCAGTTCGCTCTCATGGCCGTCCGTTACCCGTTCGCTCTGACTGAATCCGCGAGTAACGAACCCGTCCGTCCGCTCGCCCCAACTCTAATAATAGGTGTGAAACCTGGAAAACTCTGGAAAAGTTATTCGATTTGGTGTAACTTCCAATCTCAGCGTCTCTGATCAACCGACGAGGAGATAATGGGATTATTCTTGTGATCGTAACACTTATTCATTGATCGTATCAGTTTGCTGTAAAAGATGAGGTGTTTACCTGACTGCCGCGGCACGCTCGCATGACCGGTGTCTGACCCCGGCGCCCCGCGGCACAAGCTCGCGGGCGACGTAAGTAGGTCATCGATCGATAAGAGACCTCTTCCGGTTAACCCCGCAGGACTAGAGTTAAGATAGTGATAGTGAAGACAAAGCCCAGGGCGTCTTTATTCGGACTCGAGTCTGAATAACATTTTTTCATATTCGGACTCAAGTCGGAATATGGAAAAATGTTTTATTCGGACTCTAGTCCGGAAAAAAGAAAGTGTCTTCGTTCTATAGATCTAACGTTCAGTGCTTCCAATTTTCCGCCATTTTTTTAGTTTCCCCCACACCTTATCTGCCGATCTGATGCCCGCCACCTCATTGATATGGCGCCCCCACCCCCCTATGTTTCCCACTTTCTTTGTTGTAAAAAAAGGTAAAATTGAAGATGAGCAGACCACCTGGCACCTGCATATTATGAGCTGTGTAAAAAAAAAAAGACCTATTCGTTCAAATACGCAAGCCTGTGTCATCTCTATTGTTTACCATGAAAAAATTGTGTTGCTGTGTAGAGCCGAGCATACGGCAACTTTTGATTCCATAGACCTGCGCACAATTCATTACGTAGATCTACATCAAGACTAGTTTATTATTGTGATAATGATCAGTTGCCGGGGGAAAAAAAGACTGACGCGTATGCAACGTTCAACGCCCGGACCGATAGTGCCCCCCTTCCCCGACACGTACACAGCCACACGTGTGCAGACTGCCCATCCGATCCGGACACACGCTAACGAGCCATTTTTAATTGCTTTTGATGACGTCTTGACAAATAAACATTTATTAAAAGGGCTATGACTTTTCAGGCCGGCCTCAAATTCATCATAAGATAAAAACTCGGCTCCTGCACAAAACGCCTTTTTGCCTGAAGTAATCCCGGTCTCTACCCAGCCTGAGGCGAGTCACGAGTGAAGCAGGAGAGGAAGCCAAAGTCACGAGTCACAGGAAGTCGGAAGTGATGTCATGCTGGACAAGAATCAAGAGTCCGAATAACATTTTTTCATTATATTTGGACTCGAGTCCGAATAGTCACTTCGTAAGACAAAAGTAAGAGTCAAAGGTGCCACTTCTCAGGTTGAATATTGGGAGGACTTTCGTAACGAACGACCAAGTCACTATTAGTCATGAGACGGCAGAATTTTTTAAAGTGAAGAAACTTGCATTTTTCCGCAGGTTTTGGAATTTTTATCTAATTTTTTTTTTTTTTTTTTGGCTCAAGAACACCTTTCTTGTCCATTAGGCTATTATGGAACACATTTAGCTGAAAAGGCAAAAATAAAGTAAATTTTCAGTTTCCATGGGGACTCCTCTCAAGCTAAGGAATTAAAACTAAACCTCAGTTGCCATTTTCTCACACTAACTTTACCTCTGAAACCTCCTTCAATCGCCAATTTGTATCCAAGATAGTTGGGTATTTTTTTCATGGAAAGCAAAATAAAAGAAAAAGCAATATTCTCTTTCTACTCCTATAGAAGGGATTTTGGGTTCAGACCACAGGTCACAAGTATAGGCTAGAGAAATCATGATGCTTCATTTGGATGCCTTATCTACAGGATTTATAATAAAAATGGTACAACATGTCATATATATATACAGTCGAACCTGTAGGCTATAAGACGGAATCGCAAGGGAGCCAGAAAAAAATTCCGTCTTAGACAGGGGAATTTAGGGGGAGATGGGGGGGGGTTCAAAGGCCCTGCCGGTGGGATCAAGGATCGCTTGTCCGACCGGCAAGCTTTGATCAAAACTTCACACCTCTCAAGTGCTATCCTGTCTGATAATGATATAATGCGTCAGTCTTACTTATTCAGTTACAACCAGTGCTTGCCTTTCATAGGACCACTGTAGATAAAAAACAGACGTTTGAACATCTCCTTTGCTTCCACCGTTAGCCCCACCCATTGGTGTAACAAGCGTTGTCAACCAATGCCTCCCCTCACTGCTTCATGTAACAACATTTCGAGGAACTCTTTTCTCGGCTGGCCGTACCAGGGCAGCAGGCATTGGTCAATCAAATTTCACACCTCCTTCTTCTGGCTTCCCAGGAAAGTTTCCGTAGTGGCTCGCAGCTCGAGCGCTCTCTGGGGCAGTCGCGAGATTTCACACCCACACTACCCTGACCATCTGCATTGCTCAGGTCTCACATGATGGGGTAACATCTACCCCCAAATTGCACCCCTACTCCCCTTCCTCGCCCAGCGGCATGGCCATGGTGTTAAGTGTAGAGCCGGAGGAACCAAACTTTCGAGTTTTGTTCCGTCTTAGAAGACAAGTGAAAACCTTGGAAGGGAGCGGATTTTTCTTTCCGTTTCCGCGTTGGACAGGTTTCCATTTTATACAGGTAATTAAAGAGAAATATATCAAGGGGGGAGCGGGCAGGTTCCGTTAAGACAGGTTTCCGTTTTATACAGGTTTCCGTTAAGGCAGGTCGACTGTAATCAACGGAAAGAGAACGTCATAATGTAAGGGAGGTTAGCAATATGACAGAAGACAGGCGAAAGAAAATGGGGAGATAATTTTTTTACGACTAATATTTGATCGACTCACCATAATTTGCTGGGCTTGAAAACTGCTACAATCCAAAGCAATTGTCATATTATGAAAGTATATATCCATTTTGTTACACACCAGTTTTTGTTTGAAGTCTATGTCATTCCTGAGTCAAATAATCACAATTTAAAATGGCGTCACACTGTCAAAAAAAAATCCCCCGAGCCCCCTCCCGCAGTAAATAAGACTTTACTGATTGTGGTACTTGTAGAAGCACCCTATTGCACATAGGTGTGGCTTATCAGATCACCCTATGCAGTTGAAACGTGTTCTCTTTCTGATCCCCGGTCCACTACTGAGAATGCATCTCTGACATCAGTGCCATCAAAGTCGATGAGGTGGACATTGCCTTGGTAGGGCTCAATGAAATTTCCTCCATTGGCTGTTCTAGATTTTCTGGAAGGGGTAGCTACAACAGGTGTGGGGGTGATACTTGCAGCAAGTGCCTTGAGCTCATCTATCAAGCACTACTTGAATGCCTTGAAAGTGCTTTTTTTTTTTTTTTTTTTTCATTAGGCCTGCTCAACACAAACAAAATGTGGGCGTTGATTTGCGCTACTTCGAGGGACCATTTTAAAAAAATTTTCAACCATTTTCTTGTTTTGTGATTGTGCGTAGGAAATCATCTGGTCGCCCTTGTCACAACCATTCATGAAGTTGTTGTAATCTTGTATCATGACAGGCTTTGACACCTGCCGACGTCCTTCCCTGTTCTCGGTTGATCCAACGCGGGAATTCGTTGACACCACGATACGGGGTTTCTTTGCTGCACTTTCTTGTCCTTCCATGTGATGCAAAGGATATCCTTTTCTTCATGGTAGGAATAACCTTCCTCGAGGTGTTTGAGTCAAAGTGTCTTTAGTTGAGGAGGGAAGTCACATCTGTTCACATTCAGGATACCCGTATAGTAATGCCAAGGAGATGACATGTATGTTTTGAGGATTGCCGAGGTGTTATACCGATCAGTGAAGATGTAGTGTTCACTCTGCTGTAGCGGTTCCATAAGAGTTTTGAAGACTCTCTCAGCGTTTGAAAAGTCTTCATCACTCTCAGGAATGTAAGCGGTATCTTTGCCAAAGTACACCAGCAAATTGTAAATGTACCCTGTAGTAGAGTCGCAGAGCCCCAACATCTTGATGTGGTGTTTTCTCGGCTTTATGACGTTGTGCTGCTTGTGTGTAAAAATCTACCTTTCCCGCTTGTGACCATTTCATCCACGGAGACGTTTTGGAAAGGGTAGAATGCTGCCTGTAAATTCTTGAGCAGAACATTGATAAATGGTTCTATTTTTGCTTTGCCTTCTGCTGTGGACTCGTTCACTTGAACCATGCTGTGAAACACACAGAAGTTGAAATTTTCTCCTGGAAAACATTTGTCCGTACCAGGGTGTGTGCATGTCTCCTCGTAGACCAGTAGTCAGCGACATAGGTGCGTGGTTCCGTTCCCATGGCAATGAGTACGGCCAGAAATTTATATATTCTCGTACCGACCGACTGGTTCCCTGGCAGCGAAACTGGAATGCTTAATGAGTGGGGTGTGTTTTTTTATTTGAATATCTGCATATATGCGTTGATCTCACTGATCAAATTATCTATTGCGGCGTTATCTTGCAATGCAAAAAAAAAATTAAAAGTGCATTTTCTCCCAAGTCCTGCTTAGACCCACATACTCCACGAAAGTGGAAATCCAATTGTGTTGCTTGCAGAGGCCCTACTTGCAACCACCCGTGGTCTTCGTTTTCTGCGCCTCTTGCTGCAGCCCTTGTCCTTGTTGTTTGGGTTAACCTGAGCACCTTGTGTTGCTTGCAGCAGCATCCTTGCTTTTTTTCCTTTGTATTTTCGTTTTCCTTTACCAGTGCTAGTACTGGGAACTGGTTCATTATCTTAACTGCCACGGAGTCTGATTCATCATCATTAGATCTAGATTGATTTCTCACAGTCAAGATGTTCTCATCAGGATCATTGTCTGAATCACTTAGAATATCAAATTCGCCCCTGATATCGTCACTATCACGTCTATCACTCATGTCATCATTACTAGATCTGTCACACAAAGCATCTCCTGATGAAGTGGGCGTATCCTTGTTTGTGTTTACGTTGGAAACTAAACAGCACTGTTGTAGCAGATAGATTTTCCACTCAAAGAAACCGCCAAACAATGCAAAGTGACGCTTTCCAACAAATTTCGCCTCTGAAAATTTGTATTTGTGCAATACCACTTAATATAAAGTCAATTTAAAATAGCAATACTATGCCGACCAATGAGTCGGTCCTTGACAAGAATGAGTTAAGATGATACCAATAACTCAACATGCCCAAAAATGGACGAATGCCTGATACCACCCCGTCATGACACATATGAAACTGAAAATTAAAAGTAAGTTAATATGCAAATGTTGTAACTTAAACAAAGCAAACTTGCAGCAATAGGTATCATAATGAAAGCACTTGAACTTAGAGCAAAGAAATTAAAGGGACAGCGGGAAAGGTGGGTTTCAAAATGTTCACTCTGTAGTTTTGTACTTTAGATTTTCTTTTTTCCACAGGAAAAAGTCTGTAGCAGTGATCCCAACATCATAAGGAGGATGGCTTCACAGGCTTCTGAGAATGGTGATCAAAGCAGAATCACGATGGAATTGATGCGTTGCACAAACTTTGCTGCCATTAAGCACAAAGATCAGCGGAGGAAGGACAAGGAAAAGACACCATATGTTAATCATGTCATTGGTAAGAAACTGAATAGTTGGGGCAAAGGAGACTCTTTTTTTCAGTCCATTTATGACAGTAACGGCCTCTGTTATTACAGGAACTTCGATATAACATTGATAAATCAAATCCCCATTTTTTTTTTCTCTATAAGTGTAAGTAATATGAACCTGGCTATAACAGGTTTGAATTTGCACAGACTTGGATGTAACAGTGATCTTGCAGTGCATGACCTGCTTTCGATGCGTCACATTGTTAAAATTTGTCTCAACCAAGATATTTTTCCTGTTTGTATGAACGTGATCACTTGTCCGAACACATACCCCCCCCCCCCCCCCCCCCTTCCTATAGTGTTGGGATCACTGATCGATTCTGTCTCAGTGTCAGCAAAACAGCCCACTGGAAAAGGATCTGTGGAAATCAAATATAATGTAAATATAGTAAGCTGAAAGTGCAATGATACTGGTAGTTTCCCTTGAAAATGGTTATAACAGGACTCCATTATAACAGGGAAGACTGCCGGTCCCATCTGTACTGTTATATATCCAAGTTTGACTGTACAAACTCCCAAGTTTTTGTGAGAGCTTTCCAAATTCTGTCTGGAGCTCGAGTGTGCCACTTTCGTCATATCCAGTTTAGTGACCTCACTTCTTGCTCTCCCATGTCTCTCTGTTAAATGCAGAATCATAGTTTCATGTCTTTCTAACATTGCTACTCTAAGATTGAAACTTTTATGCTGTATAGTCTGCTTATTTTGACCTGCTTTGGAAAGTGAATTTGATGTCAATATAAAAAAATTTTGATAAATGAAAATATAAAGCCGAAGAGGAAAAAAACAAGGGGAGGTCAGCAGTAAAAGACAACACTACTTTTTTAAGCTGGTTGCTTACCTTGATTCTTGAAACTAACAAGAGGAGGGGTTGGAGTTGCGGTACCAAAGACCGAGCAGCGCGAGGCGCACACTACACACCAGCTTAAACTTAGTTGTAGCATCCTTGTAAGGCTTGTATATAATGGCCGCTTGCTGGGAAAAGTGGAAAGGCGAGGCACTAACTCACTGACCATGGCACTTGTCGGTTACAGGCTGAGAATGGGATGGGTAGGGGAGTGAGCTATCGGGAGTGGGGGTAGGGAGGTGATGCCCAGCGCGCGAGACGGTCACATCTGTGAGGCACTGTACTGTGTCGGAGACTACACTGTGTAGGCCCTAAATAACCTACTTAAGCCTGGTGTGTCGATATAGGCTATTTGGCAGGTATGTGGACTTAATGAAGAACTAATGCGTTGACTGCTAGCATGGCTTTTTCCTAGGGATGTAGACTTGCTAAAAACTGAGACGCCATCTGGCGTCGCTACTATCCGGCCCTCAAGTTCGAATTTATAAAGCCGATTACGACCTAGAAGGCTCTATATCCTATGCAGATTATAAAATTAGCTCCAAAACATAAAAAAACGAACGAATGAGTGCATGAAGTCTAATTATTTATTAAAACATTTTTTTAAATAAACAAATTGAAGCGATTTGGGATATCTACCTAGGTTTCGGCCTTGCAACCGAACTTGACCCCCAAAGCCAGAAGCTCAGCTTTGGGGTCAAGTTCAGGGAATTCGACTCTAGACCCGACTTTCATGCCGGCCTACTTTTTCCCCCGTTTATGTTCATGGGCTTCGCCAGGTGCCCAGGAAACGTCGAAAAAGCAGAGTGGGCCAAAATTAAAGTCAATTTAATAACAAAATTTGTTTAGTGAAGATATTGAAGAAAATATTTTGTATTTGGAAATCCTTGGTTTTTCTACCTATCTTTATTCTATGCATTGCAACTTCCCTTAGCTCAAAGAAATTCTCTGGTCCCATGAAGTTCGTGTCAACATGTTCTTACTGTAGTTGGTAGGACTATATAGAATGTCCTTATTTTTTTTTCTCCTCATTTCCCCCCCCCCCCCCCCAACCCCCCCTCTCCGCCTTCTTCCCAGGAGTGGCCCACATTTTAACAGCTGAAGCAGGTGTTACAGACATTAGTGTCTTACAGGTGAGTAGTTTAAGCCTCATGTGAGGAAGTATTTGATTTAAGCAAAGGCTTTAGATATCATGCAGAAAGAAAGTAGAATGTGTCAGCATTTTTATGGAATAATGTGTTCAGTTGTCTCCCTGCTAGGCTTATGGACAAGTCATTTAAAAGTGGTTCTAAATGAAGATGTATATGATATTTTTATTATTCCACTGAGGTTGAATTTATTGTTCACATATTGGGGGGGGGGGGGCTCTCGAACAACTTCATGAATGAGGGTCAATTTCACATCATCTGTTCAGTTTCTTGCTGACAATACAAGGATGAAATGGGGGCTCTATAAATTTGCCGAAAAGGTCTCCCATAAACATTTCTATTATCACTACCTTTTTTTTATACTTTGTCTTCTTGTATTCATCTTTGATGGTTTTTTGCTTGGTTACTTTTGTATGGCTTTTAATTGTATCCCAGAGCAGTATTAATTTTGAAGTGTAGTTTTCGTCAGTAAAATTACAGACTTTTTTCTCACTACTCTGGGAAATTAAACATTTAATTTCATTACCTTTTGACTTTCCTTTTTGGGTAAACATTTGCAATAATAAAAAAGATATCAAGATCTGTGGTTTAGAATTTTTCGACAGTTTTGCTGTCAAGATTGCTGCTCAGAAAATGAGACTGTTTTGACAGATTCTATTGCTACCTGGCTACCTGGAAATAAACCTACATGTATGAGTTCCTAATATATTGGGGGGGGGGGGGGGGGGGGGGAGTCATGATTGTCTAAAATCAATTTGATTCTACCAGTATTAGATATTATTGTTCTGTCCTTTTGAACAATGGCTCCAAATGATGTATCTCATTCTGCTAATTGCAATGACATAATATCTTAAAATTGAGGAGTGGGAATTTAGAATGTTGTTATTTCTAGGTTTCTGAATTATAACTGATCTTTCTTTGAAAGGTGTTAAACGTGCTAACCTCTGCAATTATTTGTTTCTCTACCTAATTTGGTTCCTTTTTGCAGGCCGCCCTGCTGCATGACACTGTTGAGGACACGGACACCACATTTGAAGAGCTGGAGCAAGAATTTGGAGAACATGTGACAAGTAAATGAACATGTGAGGCAACAGAGCAAACTTAGTTATGAACAGAGGTTGTTGGGTGTAGGGGTCAGGAGATACAGAGGTCACTGGGTGCACAGGTCACTGTGTATAGAGGTCTTTGGGTGTAAGAAACAATCTGTCTTGGGATGCATGAGCAAAAGTGTCTCTGGGTATAGGCTATTATTCTATAGAAGTCATGGTGTATGAAGGTCACCACTCAAAAAAGTGAAAATGAAAATTATATATGTAAAAACACTGTGGTAGCGGTCAGGGTCACTCCATGGAATAAAATCATAAATATCGGTAGCAAGCGCTTATCAGAAAGTTAATTAAAGAGTTGTCTTACTACACATTTTTTCCGCACTTTCATGTCTCCTGCCTTTGCTCTGAAGTAAGAGACCTGTTCCTATGGGCCTGAGTTACCTAGCGAATACCAGTTTGAGCTGAATTAGCATCATGATAGCATCCTTTATTTAGATTTTCTTGCTGTGATATCTTTTTTCCACTACTCCTTGTTAGTGAGCCTGTTCTTATGATTAAGTCTGAGATGTTGCATCACAATTAAGAACTCTTATTTTCAGAACCTATGGTATGAAATCTATACTGAATTAAAAATATGTTCTCTTTGGGACTTGCCAGGTCTGTTTTTCCATATCTCGGGGGGGGGGGGGGGGGGGGGGTTGTTGTTGTTTGATTGTTTTTCATGTTGATTACCTTTATCATGCTGGGTTCAGAAAACTTCTTGAAATCTAAAATATGTTTAAAAATCTAAAATAAATACAAGCTCTCCTTTGGAGTGTAAGATACCATATGTCAGCTTCAGGCTACTGCTTGTGGGTGTCAGATATCAGTAAAGAAAGGGTTTGAACTGATTTTTAATTGAAACCATTGAACAAACCGGTATACACGATGAACATTTAGATGTTTGTCAGTTACTAAGCCACAAATAAAAACCTGTGCTATACAGCTAATTATATTCAACAATAATCCTTTACGTTCACTTTCTTTTACAACAGTATCTAGAAGCATTTGAAGGTCCTTTTCGGAGCCTGCTATTAAAACTGTGTCATCTGCATACCTGATGTTATTAATATTTTCTCCATTAACTTTGAAGAATATCCAGGCCTCAAAGTAAATGGAGAAAATATTAATAACATCAGGTATGCTGTTGTTGTTGTTGTTGTTATCGATCCAGCAACAGCTGGGCTCTCGCCCTTCTGTCCAATGCCATGTAGTGATAAGTGCAGGTTTGCTGCAGCTGCTGTAAAGTTCCATAGAGTGTGTTGTCACTGTTAGGTCTCGGAGGGAGAAGGGTAGCTCTGATGTCATTTAGGGCTGTGCAGTGGAACAGATGATGATCCACAGTCTCATATGCATAGTCACACAAGGGACACATTGGGGGAAGTTCCGGGTTTATTCTGTTCAGGTGGAAGTTGAGCTGTATATGTTCTGTTCGTAGGCGGAAGATCATGGTCTGTTTCTTTCTCTGTATGTGGTTGATATTGTCATTCCTTTTTGTTGTGGTCATATGTTTGAAAACTGCTCTGCCTGTCTTTCCCAGGGTCCATCTGTTCATCCAATCTTGTTTGTTGTTGCTTTTGATGATTTGTTTTGCAGTGTTGTATGAAGTTGGAATGTTGGGTTGTTCCTGTCTAGATCCCCGTTTGGCGAGTGTGTCTGCTCTGTCATTTCCAGGTATATCTGAGTGTCCGGGGACCCACTGCATTACTAGGTTGATGACACAGAATGTTATCAGATGATGGGATCCAAACAGTATATGGGTCAAATCTTGGTTTAGATGATGGTCATTTTCTATGGCTTGTAATACTGATAGTGAGTCAGTGAAAATCACAGTGCTCTGTGCTTTTCCAGGATGAGTGTCAAAAACTGTACGGAGATGGTACAGTGCTGTTTTAATTGCCTCAGGTATGCAGATGACACGGTTTTAATAGCAGGCTCCGAAAAGGACCTTCAAATGCTTCTAGATACTGTTGTAAAAGAAAGTGAACGTAAAGGATTATTGTTGAATGTAAAGAAAACAGAATGCATGGTAATATACAGAATGCATGGTAATATCCAAAAAAGCAGCAAATCCTAGTTGTAATCTCATTAGCAAAGGTGAAAAGATCAAACAAGTCCAACAGTTTAAATATCTAGGATATATGATGACATCTGATGCCAAATCTTCCGCAGAAATAAAAAGGAGAACTGCAATGGCTAAGGCTAGTTTCAATAAAAATGAGCCCAATCCTGAAAAATAGAAACATATCAATGAACACCAAAATGAAAGTCATGAAATGCTATGTTTGGTCAACCCTTCTTAATGGCTGTGAATGCTGGACAATCACTAAAGACAGTGAAAATAAAATAGAGGCAACAGAAATGTGGTTTCTTAGGGGACTGCTAAGAGTATCGTTGAAGGAAAAGAAATCAAATGAGGCAGTGCTTGATGAAGCTCACGTGGGACGCTCAATGTTAAAAACAATCAGGAAATGACAAATGCAGTTTTTGGGACACCTGAATAGACATAAGGGTCTTGAACATCTAGCTCTCACTGGCAAAATTGAGGGCAAGCGAGGCAGGGGTAGGCCCAGAACAACATACTTAGGGAACCTAAACAAATGGGTAACAGGGAAAGATCAGGGAAACGTAGCTTTTCTGAGAGCATCCGAGCAAAGGAATGAATGGAAAATCATGATCGCCGATGTCTGTCGCAGATCTGGCACTGGATGATGATGATACAGCTAACCCTACTTAGGAGTTATAGCTGACTGGTAGAATCTTTATTTATTTTGTTTGTGTCTTCTTAATGCCAGACACTCTTCATGCCTGTATATTTCTAACTGGATTTGGTGTAGAAATCTAAAGTGGGGCTATTTTTTATGTTCTCTGTTTATCATAGTTTATGGATTTATTTAGAAGTAAAATTTCGTGTTTATTTTTTACTAGTTTATTCTGTATTAACAAAAGCCAAAGTCAATCTGCTGGTAACAATAGCAATACACTAGATGAAATCGGTACAACACTTTTCCCACTTCACAAAGGCAGAACACAGTAAAAGGCTGGTTCTCTTCAACTTTGGCAAACAAATGCAGCAGCTAAATATCCCCATGCGACAAATGTGTGTTGTGAACACTCAGAAATTCTGAACTCCTGATGCGTCTCATCCAGGTATTGTAAGAGAAGTAAGTGATGACAAGACACTCGGCAAGGCGGACAGGAAAAGGCAACAGATTGAGCATGCGCCTCACTCCAGCTACAAGGCCAAACTAGTAAAACTGGCGGACAAGTTGTACAACCTGCGAGATTTGAAACGATGCACACCTTGCGGTAAGTGACGATAGGGTTAGGTGCCCGAATAATTGGGTTCTCAGACTCACAACTGTAAGGTTGTGGGTTTGAATCCTGTCAGGGGCCCCGACGTTGTGTCCTTGGGAAGGATACTTTGCATGAATTTTCCTCACTTCACCCAAATGGAAATTTGTACCCAGCTATTGACAGTGAAATATCTTGTCATTTTGTCAGTGTTTTAGTAGGTGCAATCCGCAGCTTGCACTGTATGCTTCATAGTATTGCATGTCAATATAATGCAAGTAGTTGGTGATCAACTTTTTTGTACGTAACTTAGTGACTGGGTGTTCTACACCCGTACATTTTTAGTAGAGCAAGCAGTCCGCGGGATATTTTGTAGAAACTATTAAAGACTTACTTATCTGTTCATATGGCTTTGACAACAAAGTACTAGCTTTAACTTTAAATAAGCAAATGTGAGGCAGCGTGGTGGAATCTGGCTCTCGTCCAAATAATCAAAATGAAGAAACCTGCATTTTTCCGCAGGTTTGTGAATTTTTATCAAATTTTTGTTCTTTGGCTCAACACCTTTCATGCTCAATAAAGAACTCATTTCTGTGTTGATTTTTCCGGAAAACGTTGATTAAAGGCACAAAAAATGTAAATTTTCAGTTACCAAGGACTTTTAAGCTAAAGAAATAACTAATCTTTGATGGCCATTTTCTCACTAATTTTACCTCTGAAAATAGGTGACTCCCACCTCCTTCATTCACAAATATCTCGACTTGTATTCAAGATAAATGGATATTTTTTTCATTCAAATAAACACAAGTGAACAAGCTTTAAGATGATACCAATAACTCGACATGCCCAAAAATTGACGAGAGCCTGATTCCAACTCGCTGCCTCACAAATATATAATTCATTAGTCTTTGAACATAGTTTTCATTTCATGTAATGATGTATTTATTTAACCCATTTGAACAGAACTGAAGGTTGAATGTTTTAGAAAAATTTGAATTACATGGCATCATGTGTAACAGAAGTCTAATTAAAATGGTAAGTGTGTAATTTGCACATAACATGGTTTGCAGTTACAGTGCTTGCACCGATTACTGGACATGATGAGCCTACCAACTTTTTGTTACTTCAATAATATCTGGCAAAGAATGCATAGTGCTAAGTAGCCTACAAGAACGTTCTTTTCTTGCTCGCTTGAAGAGACACAAAAGATTTTTTTTATTAAGAGAAGTCTTGGATGCTTTTTTTTTTGGTGCCTTGTTCAAATGAAGGACGAGTTCTGTTCTACAATGATGCCAGATTTTCTTTGGTTCAGCCGGGTTTACAGTTAAGAGAGGTTGCTCAAATAAAAGGAAAAAAAATCAGATTTTTTTTTCGTACTGTTTACTGCTGTTTTCAGGTTTAACCATGTTTGGTGAGTAAGCAGACCCCTTTGTACTTTAATAAATGTCATACATAGCAAATGCTCAGTAGAATGTTAATGCAAAAGGGAAAGTCCTCAACTAAGTACAAACAATTAAAATTTGTGTTTTTTCTCCTCTCCCCCCCAATCTCTCCCCTCCAGGCTGGACCTCTGCACGAGTACAAGAATACTTTGGGTGGGCTGCGCAGGTCGTGGCTGGACTGCGGGGAACCAACCAGAACATGGAGGACAGTCTGGACCAGCTGTTTAAGGAGTTCAAGGTGGCCTCAGGCTAGATGATGATCTCACAGCCTGTTACACTGGGGGAGGTTATGACTCGTCGCTGTCGCTGTCACCCTCACAGGTGTAAATGGGCACTCTAAAAATAGATCTGAAAAATCGTGTACTACCACCAAAGGTGGAAACCTTTCTAGGGTTGTGGGCTGGGGTGGGGGAATGCTTCTCCGTCCCCCACACCCCACCGCCACCACCACATTCCCTTTTTGTGGAAGGGGGTGGGGGAGAGGGAATGCTCTCCCCTTTTCAAACTCATTTTTAACACATTACGCCCTAACTCGCCTGGGACCGCCCGAGAATTCCCTTACGCGCTCCACTCTGACTCGCCGACCTAGCGTCTTTAGAAACAAAGTCTCTGGGGCCGAGATTTTGATTTACATAATTATTGCAAAAGATTTTTTCTTTCGTTTGATACCGAAACGAAATTTTTCGGGATCGCGTTACCGACACTTCGTAGGTGTCTCGACTTGTTGAAAAGCGACACAATTGAGTTCAGAAAAGGAAATAACGATGGACTTGACAAACCAGATGGCTCAGATTATGATGAAAACGTTGTAGCAAGAGTTTGGGGCGATTCCGATTGATCAGACGTAGAAAATCTAGAATTTAGATCTAGTGCCCGACCGCGAGGCTGAGTCTGAGAGTGAGAGTGACGGGTCGGACACCCCGATTGAACTAAAGTTAGAACATTTCCAACAGTTAGTGCTTACATAAAGTTATATTTTTCTGAAACTACATTCATTTTTCGTTTTCACTTTTATTTTTTCTGGATTTGGGGAATTTTTTTTTGTATTTTTAAAATGTGTTTCTTGAAGGCTTGTATTCACAGGAGGTGGGTTCCTACCCCTTACCTGGGATCTAGGAATGGACTTCCTTAGGGTGTAATGTGTTAAAAAAATGTTAAGAGTTAAAAATTCTGCACTTTAAAACCCATGTTCACATTCCTTAGCCAGATGATTAAGATATATATTGTCAGTTTATTTTTCTACACAACATGACAGGGAGGGCATGAAAATGTGAGGTATTTTCATCCTTGCATCCCTTGTCACGTTCAACTTGTGGCTGTCACTTGTTTTCAGGGGCTTTTTGTTGGTTTTTTTAGGTATGTGTAAGGTCTGCCACTTTTGACTGAGTTTTAACACCATGAGGCCTTAATAATACGAGTGATCGCTTGTTAATAACTTAGTGATCAATTACAGGAAAATGTGGCTGTGATTTTACTCCCTCTCTATTTTCATGGCTTACACTTACACAAAAAGAATGTGACCGGGACTAAGCGTTTCATGCCTACTGGAAGTAAAAAAGCTCTGCTTTGAATGTTATATAGCATGCAATTCTTTCACAGTGACTTCTAGTCCTTGGCAAGATTACTTTCAATGTTCATGTATAAGCAGTTATATTGTCTTTTTCCTAATTTTGAACTTTTGTTAATTCTACTTAGTTTTTTTATCCAGGCTACCCACTGAGCCACTGTTCAAATTATATTACAATCTTACAGGTGAGCCATTAAACTGAATGTTGTCACCAATAAAACAAACTCTTTGCAAGCATCCCAAGTCAATATGGTTAAGAATATAATTTGGAAAAATAACTGTCTTATCTTAAAGCTAATGGTGTTTTCTTGGTAATAACATTCAGTTTTTGGGCTCTCCTGTTAACCCTATCCGTACGCCCTTTGGTCATTTTGTACCCCCGCGGTTGTATTCTTCACATTCTAGTATACTTCTAGTACAAAGATATCTTTGATTTGAAACCTTCAGTATTTCTAAAAAAGTCATTTTGACAGACAGCTATGCGAAGCGCACGAGTAAATTTCCTCATTGGAAAGTGGTTGCTCAGAGTTCCCCACGTCATATATATGGATACGATACTAAAACACAACATACAGATAGGGTTAAACTGTAAAAACTGCGTACCGGCGGGCAGTATTGCATACAGATGTGAGTCATTTTTGGCCGCCTTTGAGATACATCTGTAGTAAGCAATACTGCCTGCGTACTGTATTTTTTAAAATGACGGCAATATGCCTATATGTCATTTTTTGAAGTTTTGAGAAAAATTAAAGGAAAAGAGAACGCCCAAATCAGAACCATGATGTAGGCACTCATTGCTATTTGAAAACTAAGAAGGAAATAACCTTGATGTTTATATTATAATATCAGCTTTGTCTGGAAAACCCCAGAAATTGATTTGGATGATTGTGAATGATGCTGACAATATTCAATATGTTTTCTAAGCCTGCCTCAAAGACCATCTTCATTGTGATGATAAATTATATAAATGTATCAAGTTCATGAAAGGCGGAGTAGATAAAATCTGTTTCTGGATGTGAGGATTTGCTGATTGTTTACCCGAGGTGTGCAAAGAAACTTAGCCCGCTGAAGCATAGAAATGCATAGGCTGGTTTCACTTTTTTTTTTGTTGCACGATGGATGTGCTACCGTAAGTTATCTTTATGTTAGAAGCGGAACAATAGCTTGAATAGTTTTAGCTGTGCACAGTATTTAAAGGTGTTTGTTTATTGTTTTTTATTTTATTAAAAGCATTTTACTGCACTTCATCGTAAAATAGTCGAAGATTAGAGGTGTTACTAGAGAGTAACAAACACAAAAAAGGAGGAGGAGAGATCAGGACGATAGATGTTTGACAGGAAAGAAGAAGCAAACCACAGAAGAGCAGGGCACCCACCAACCACCTGCCTGTATTTAAAGTGACTGAGAAGTTTGGTTGAAGCCAAATGAAAATTAGAATTTTTTTTTGTGTGTGGATACTTGTGAGAAGCAGATTATTTTTTATTCTATGATTTTATTATACAAACAGTATGCCTGTGCTTTAGTTGTTTTTGTCACTAGATTTTCTGCAATACCAATTATATGAACCACAATTATTTTTTTTTAATGGTTTTTGCTCCTTTTGTTGATGTATATAGATCTATTGGATTGTAATATTTTAGAATATTATTACAGTCGAACCTGCCCTGACGGCCACCTCTATAAGACGGCCACCTGAACAAACGGCCATATTTTAACACACAACCCCTATCACACTAAGCAATAACACCTGTCTTAGACGGCCACCTTAATGACTCCATTACGTTTTGTCATTAATTGTGCATTGACCCCTGGCGTTGTGGGCGAGCCGTCATAATCTAATCACCTGTCGTTGTTGTTAGGTAGATCCTCCAACCGATCATGTTGCGTAGGCCCCTCTCACTGTCGACCAATAGGTACCAATTTCCAGCTGCTGGTGAGGGAAACGTGTGATCCCTCATAACCCATAAGCCCCGCCCAGAACTTATACACAAATCGTAAGTGAGATGAGTGGTCACTGTTTACCCAGTCTGTAACAAAGTAACAATGGACGTCAACATGGACTTGTGACAGAAGCGTCGCTCGTTCTTCGAGTGGTGGCCACCCATATGTTTGTTTTACCATAGCACTCGGTCGTCCTTGTCTAACACATTTCGTTTTATTGTCACTGTCACCCTTGCACAAAATCAGCAACAAAATAAAAATAACAAACAAAATACAAACCAACAACAACAAAAACAACAATAATGCGGCTACTTTCGATTGGGAATGGGGTTTGTTTTCTTCATCTTGATCAGTCCTGCCTAAGACGGCCACCTGTCTTATATGGCCACTTTTCTCCTTGACAATGGGTGGCTGTCTTACACAGGTTTGACTGTATTATACAATCTCTGCTCAATGAAAGAGAGAAGTCATAATTTTTTTTATGATCACTCAGGATTCCAACATCACCCAGTTTGGTAGTCGAGTCCGCTTGTGTTGAACTTGCTGAAGTTGATCTTCGGTTAAGTTATTTTTCTCAGGTTCCAGCACCTTTTTTCTTCACAGTTCCGAGTGAGTAAGTTGAACTTCAGATAACTTGATATATTTTTCACCCCCCCCCCCCCCCCCCCCCCCCCAATGACATCAACTCATCCGTAGTCAACTGTACCATGAAAGCAGTCAAACTGGCTAGTTAGTACGGTCACCTATCCATGACAACCACCTGTGCAAATAACCTCTTCCCACTTCCCCTCTTGCATTTGTTAATGTTATAATGACACTGAGAGGGATCCACCTGTCTAAAATAAGTACTTTCCTCCTCAAATCTCGATGGCTGTCTTGGACAATTTCAGCTGTATTGAGAACACAACTGATTCTCCCACTTCATGTTATTTTAAAGAACCAGACAACTTGCCACCACCTTTTCCAGTAGTAAAGGCTTTTCAAATTCAGAATAATGTTTGATGTCTGAGAAGTATGTAGTCGTACTTTCATTCTAATTAGAAACCAAATACTCAAGAGAGAAAAGACAAAACAAAGTAGCATTGAAGGTTTTTATTCAAATGTCTATAGACTTTTTTTTTGTTCATTTCACATTACAAACTGAACATACAGAAATACACATTTTGTTCAAAAACATTTAGAAAATAAGGCATACCTAGTAACAATGTACAGTGTCAAGCAGTCATTCCCAATCAAATAACAAGGCAAAATAACTCGGGCACTTTCACTCGTTACTAAAATTCATGTTTAAAATGTACAATGTTTTAATTCAGCCTTTCTGTCAAAATGGACACACCCACACTTCTCAGTCCCAGCAATCACCAGACTTTCTCACCACCTGCCGCTGTTACCTCTGGCTCGGGTTGATGTTGATGATATGTTTTGTGCATGGCCTCACCAGCAGGTACAGAACATGATTCACATTCAAGAGACACCTGAGGAAGTGGTGGCTGCAGGGCTTACATTCCCAGGCAGACCAAGTCTACGCCTGAACTGGTAGAGGGTTTAAAGAAACCTGTTGATTATTTTGTGTGTGCAGGGGGGTGGGGGCAGCGAGTATTGTTGGCCATGAGCATGAATGTGATCTTGGAGAACCTTCAAGGTATCACGTGTATTGGTACACAATCTGCCATCCCCTCCAATGTGCTTTTTGTCTATATGCGTGCCTTCTACTCTTGAATGAAGATGCATTCTCAGGGCTTAAGCGATTGTGATCAGCTGCAAAGAAAACCTTCTATCAGTATGGTACACTATACTATACTCGCTTGCTTATTTGTTGGTGTGATTAGATTTTCGATATATATATGAGATTCATGACAATCACTCAAATAAAGATTAAGAAGAGAAATTCTCCATTTGCTTCATTATTCTTTCATTATGATGTAATCAGAAGAAGCAGTCCATTAAATGAGGATGTCAGTGAATGATATCCAGACTTGTGTCCATACATTGTGAGATCAAAGGTTTATTTTCTACTTTTTCTTTATAGTATTTTCATTGGTTTACATTTTTTTAAAATGAGTTTCAATCCCCGAACAACTGTACACTTTCCTCAGAGTGAGTAAAAGAAAAAAATCCAACTTCTCATTTCACCCAAGACACACTTGCAATCATGTGTTTGTGATGAGGTGTGTCCCGCAACATGCATTTCAATTCCCTTTCATATTCTTGGATGCAACCTTCCATTCCTCTACAAGTGGCAAACCAAAGAATGCAATCAGTTTTCCCCTTTTCAAAACAGTTGCAAGAATTGTGACTTGCTCTGAAGATGTTTTTCTAACTTTGAACTCGGGGGACAAATTTTCTTTAATGTTAAGACAAAAACTTTCAAACATCATGTTTCCACTTTCAATTTCATGCATCTCATTTTAAAAAACGAAAAAAAAAAACAGAGCCCATCTAAATAAGACAACCTTGATTTAAGGTACAGATTTGTGTGACTTCTGTAAACAAGATTTAATTTCTCTTATCTATCATGAATCAGTAAATATCCTGACCATTGTTCTTAAAAGTTACATGACATACAGTAAACATACAGTGACCAGACTTAATGTAAAAAAGAAAAAAGCCTATTTTCCCAACGCATTAATTTATCAATTCAGACTGACACTGCTGTTCCAATACAATCGGTTTTTAAAAATATACTGGTCTGGTACCAGATTTCTGCTTATATTTTAAATGTTTTATTTTCAACACATACAGTTGTACCAGCTGGATCCCTAACAACAACAGTAGTACTAGTAACGAAATGTTTTTAAATCACCTGCCAACTATTGCCCGAATACAATTACTTACGACTTTGTCTAAGATTTTATCATCTACAAGTGGACTCCACTGTGCAGCATTTTCTGTCACACACTTGTCTCATTTTCACCTTCAAATAACTTACAAGATATAATGTACATATTTACACAGCATCTACGAGTCTGGCACAAATCCGTGAAACCATCCTCGTGACTGCAGGTGGGAGAAAACTTAACATCACAGTCATATTGCGTACAAAAAATTTGATCTCCAAATACATGACAAAACACTAAATTAATTTTGTACATTAAAAGACAGCATAACAACACAATGAGTTGGCACAGTTACATGGAAAATTTCATTCAATCCATCCTATCCAGTGCATGGGAAAAATCTGCAACATGCATTATAATTATTAGTTATAACTACTTTGCTATTCAGAAAGTTAGAAACCATCAGTTGAATCTTTATAAAGGAATAGAGATGGAAAAGACATACAGTAAAAAGAAAATTATTCAACCAAAAGAGAGGGGAATTTCACCCTTTGGAGCATTGCCCAATTGTAGGCCTGACCCAGACTATTGAAGATACCATAACACACACAAAATGACACTTTACATTGTGAGACGACACCCAAGTACATATCACCAGCCAGCTGTACAGACGTATTACGCCCGAAATTCTGAAAAAATAATTTGATTATAGTTTAGTTTATTAATCTGCGGTATCATGTGCTCAAAGAAATATTTTGAAACAATTCTACATGTTGCAAAAAGTAAAAAAAGACACACAGTAGGTACAACTGTCGAAAGAATGAAACCGTTTCTTCTCTCTCCTAAAACATTTTGTTTTGTGGGCAAAGAACATTTGATCAGTTTGCCGACGATAAGAAGTCCCAGGTTGAAATGTCTATTCTTTTTGTTGTTACTAACTTATGGGTCGTACCACAGTAGCCTACCAACATGCCACATGCACAAGACAAAGCCTGAGCTTTCTTCACTCCTGTCTATTAAATATGCTGAGCAGGTACAATTTCTCTTGACACAATTCTTTCCTAATAAACAAGAGCAAACAGTTGCAGAACATGCTCTGAAAATCCCTCATGATTAGTCCATCTAAAATAGAGCCATAACTAGACCGACTGATGTAATGTAACAAAAGATATAAAATGGTTTCTTGCAATTGCAATTCAAAGGTCAAAAGTTCAATTTAAGCTTACTTTAAAAACCAGCTTAAAAAAAAACAACCCACCCATGTTGTATGCAGCTGACCTTTCATCCATCCATTACATGCTCCTTATACCACTCAAGCAAACCAAAAAGACACAATGTATACGCCATTCAATTCCAGGATTGTACAAGTGACAGGCACTCAAAGCAACAGTTATGTCCTGGTCCAACTCCAACTCCCTTTCTTCTTTCATACACTGAAGTCACATCAACTTTTTTCAGGATTGGGGAAGATAAAACACCAACTAAACTAACAATAGCCATTTTTCTTCCATCACAGACACATGCCTCACATGAAATCTTTGCAACTTACAGCCTTCACACATAATGCAGGGCTGCCCAAGGACACATAGGTACAGTGTTGATTTGGTATCAGTATCATACCGGCCCATGATGCTTGCCACAAAGGTTCAAATTCACAAAAGAGCATTCCAAACTTGGTTTGTTTGGGATATTCTCAAGGCTCTCCATCAACTTGATTTGGATCTGTTGGAGATGGATATTACAGTTGGAGGTTCAGCCTCTTAAAAAAATCTTTCAGCATTACATGGCGAATTGGGTGCCAAGCCCGCACCATACAATAACAAGGGGCACACATTGGTCTGGGGCCTACTGTAATAAGATCCAAGCACAGAAGCCATGCTGGAGGTCCAGAGGGAAACAAAAGAAATGAAAGTCTGTCAGGGAGGGTCAAAACCTCAGATATCCCAGAGTCCCTTTTTTAACAATACCAATATCCATTTTTTTTTCTCATAGCATCTTCAAGGAAACAGCGACAGATAGGTACCTCTAAAAACAACAAATATGTACCTCTAAAAACAAAGAAAGAAAGATATAAAAGAAGTTTTTTACCATCTAGCATAGGCTATAGTCAGAAAAAGCATCAATGTGCATTGTTCTTTGGAGTATGTATATAACTCTAAAGGTCTTGTAATTATATTCCTGCATGTGGTTGAATGACACACTGATGTGATATGTGTACATTTTGTCAGCTTTACTTCGCTTTTCATATTGAATTTCAATGAGAGTAATATATAATTTAAACTTTTATGTATACCTGCATGAGTTTTTATGGTCCTGTACAGCCAAGAAAAATTTCCCTCTGGGATATTAAAGTATTATCCTATCGTATCAGTTATCTTACTACTCTGTATAGGACAATGATGACATGTGGGGGGTAGGAGGGACAGCAGAGATTCCGAACAAAGGACTGGCCTGTGAACTTCAGGACACTCAAAAGCCCTGAAAGAATCACATACTATGTACAAACCAAGACATTACCTACACAGGTCTTGTTATTACAATGCATGCATCTTTTTAAAAGGGAGAACAACACTTCATTATCAATACTCCAAAGACATGACACTGTTTTACAAGCCAATAAGTTTGCTTTCATACACAGAACAAACACCTTCATCAAAGGAAAAAAGCATCATGAAACTAGAAAGTGATGCACAGAAAATATGGCCAACACATGAAGATCCTCATAGCAACACAATAGAAGAGGCAAGATCATAAGAACCTCATAAAACCTTACAGGTATCCATGAACTTTTGTCGCCAAAACATAAAATTGATCCACCTTTCTTTTTCAATTTTTGCAGCTATTTCACATGACCAAAATGCACAAACTGATACTAACGAAAGATAGGATACTGTTTGGATTTTTCTCGAGTATCTTCATCGTAGACTGCAGAAAAAAGAAAATAATAATTTCAGACTTCATTTTACTGGACCATAGTCCCCTGTTTACTTTCAATCAAGATCTGATGATAGCAGTAACAGACCACAGCTTTTTCTTTTATTTTTTAATCTTACTCAAATCAAATGAAGGCAGACACAAAATATAATCATCTGTAATACATCAAACAATGTTTGCAAAATAGAAACAGCCTCACAACTTGATTTACTGAGTGTCATATCATCTCTTTGAGGTGCTGTCCTTATCTATCAAGCCTATGTCCACTATTTATTTGTGAAAAAGACCTGCGAATACTGTACTACTTTAGAAAAATAAATGTATGTTATGCGGCACAGATTAGAGCAGCAAGAGGTGTAGTCTGTGTTATGTCAATCTATTCAGCTGCACCGGGGTGATTGAAACGCCATTTTCATTACAAGCTGACCAGAGAGACAGCTAACCAGATACAGTCTCAGTCTAAGAGTAAGAGCATCAAAAGACAGAGGTACACATCTTAATTTGCCATCAAGCCATCAAGGTTTACAATTACAACTCTACTACGGTAACATTTCCAGTGTCCCTGTTACTTTCTCACTAGATACTATTATAAAGATACCAAATAAAAGAGGAACCTTATCCCTCATCATGCAGCTAAAAAAAAGGTGTTTTACAACAACAACAAATTTCAATAGACAAGTAGCCTACCCAGGGACCTGTACTGCTTGCCAAGTGGCTGGAAATTTTGCAAATGGTCTTTCTAGTCATATTCTAGCTAAGAAAGAAAAATCTCTAGACTTCACATTTAGCTGTCCTGAGCAAGCTCATTCACTGATATTAGGTGATCATTTAACTGCCAGTCTTCTACATATACATTTTGAAGATTTAATCTTCTGGAGAACAGTCCAAGTCACATCGCAATTTCCTGCTAGGTTAAAAAAAACAATGAGCAAAAGGGGCTACAGCTACTAGTTAAAAGGAAAACATTAAAATAGAAATAATTATCTTTTGTAAACTCTTCTAACGTGCTGTGCATACAAAGCTCTTCTCCGTCTATCTAAAGAACATTGTGAACAAAAAGCCACTAAATATCAGGTCCACAATTTGCTTATGAACAGTCGGTTTATCAGAATATGCTGCTGGTATTTCTTTTACAATAATGAAAACTTTACACAATGCTGATGAGTTCAGAGAGAGAATCAAACAACGTAAGGAACAATAAAGCCACACATCATGTACAATAGAAGGATTCACAACTGCTGAAAGGGAAAGAGAGACAGACAGACAATCAGAAGTAAATTGACTGATGCCATGGCATTAGTTCATGAATCTCTGCACATAAACCATGTCCCCAATATCATAAAAAGTCCCAACTTTTTAAAAATCTCAGTTTGGCACTAGGGACGAAAAAACACAACTTTCTTCCGCACTTTCACTTATAAAACTAAAACCAAACAGCAAGGTAGACAAAGTGAAATACCAACTGAAAGAGGAGAGAGAGAGAGAGAGAGAGAGAGAGAGAGAGAGAGAGGTTATTAGTGTATGCGTAGCCGTGGTTGTTTTTGGGTGAAGGGGTGACACACAAACCGAACTGTGACTACTTAAAAGTATTCCATCCTTCATCTATGTATTTTTGCATTTGATTAACAATTGGCCCATTAGTAGTGTAACACATGCTTAATTGAATGCACAAATGGTGGGAAAAGAGAAAGGGAGGGAGAAAGTGTTATTTAGTTGGGCCATAAATTGTGTTGGGCGAGGGATGTTTGATTTGTGCAGGGCAATGGCAAATAGATTGGAGGCAGTAGCCTACATGCCAACAGAAGTTTTATGAAAGGCAAGTATGGGTTAACACAAGTGTACTGTCATGTTTTCACTTTTCCTTTCTCTTTCTTCTCTCTCAATTTGTCAGTCTGTCTACCTGTCTCTCTGACCACTTATCTCTCTCTGCTGCACATGCGCATGCACACACACACACACACACACACACACAATACACAAACACACACACACACATATCCATAACTATATCTGCAGACTTCCACTCCTCAGATTTTAGTGATAGAAGGTACCACTGTACTGTGCGTCACATGACAGACACCACAAGATAAAACCTGAGCTTTCAGTATTGTCAGCCATTAAATTTGCTAATCATCTCACATTTCAGCCACTCAATTTGCTAATCCTCTCACAATTCAGCCCCTCAATTTGCTTATCATCTCACATATCCTCTGAGCACATACAATTTTTCAGTGTACTCTGTGCAAACAGTCTCAATTCTTGCCCTGACCACTCCCCACATTCTGCTCATTTCCAAACAAAGTCACTAACCATTACACTTTTCCACACAAAGAAAAACAACATTCCTAATGTCTCACAGGTCAAAGTTCAAGGTTCATCACACTGAGTCTGAGAAAAGAAAGGGCAAAGTGAAACACAGGGGGTCTCCGTTAGGAAACGTTTAGAGAGTTCTCAACAGCAGTCCACGGTAAACCGCTGCCAATCAATATGTTCGTTTCGCCCATCTGAGTTATCCACATCTTCTCTCAGAATTTCTACGTCCCATTGTAGAAGGTCTCCAACAGAAAGCAACACTGTGATTCTATAATAATGGAAACACATTTCCTCCATCTCATAAAGTTCCAGACCAACAAGCTCCACTTCCCCTTCTCCCACGTACGGGCAGCTCGAACACACAACCACAGGGGTTTTGAGCTCTGAGCATTCACTTACATTCCCTTTCCCGTATCTGTTGACCTGCTCTTTTCCAACAACCCAACAAAGTCGGTTTTCTCACCAGGTACTAGTATGATTCTCTTCAGTCTGTTCAGAAGCTATGTGTATTTGTCAACTCACTATGCATCACCTCCTCCTCCACAAGCAAAGACAACAACACGCTTGAGTCAATTATTCCAATACCTTCCTCTCCCATTCGAATTCTTCCCTCATCTCCACATTAGAAAAATGGACATGGTGTTTTCCAATGGCAACAGAGCAGCACTCAACAAGCAACACTCCAGGCGACCCCAACGCTTTTCAACTCAGATCTACGTCTTCCTCTATCACAAGTTAATCTGTGTATAGAATGGAGCCCATCACAGGAGCGAAACAACACATGCCACACTGTTCTCACGACGTGTGAGAGAGAGAGAGAAAGAAAGAAAGAAAGAAAGAGAGAGAGAAAGAATCCCCCTCAGCTGCAGTTTGTGTTGACTGAGTTGTTCCGTGAGCTGCTAGCACTGCTGCTGCTGTCCAGGATCTTAGGCGAGAGTTTCTCCACCTTCTCCGCATGTTCTCGGCTCGTCGACTTCAGCATAGAGTACAGGTTCTTCTTCACCCTCAGGATGGTCAGCCGAACCTTGGGGTTCTGTGCCCAGCATTCCCGCATCAGCTTCGCTGTCTCGCACATCAGCTGAAGAAAGTTAGTTAAAGATTTTAGTTTTAGTAAGAATTGTACAACACTTGCAACACAAATAGGTCATATAAGTGCTGAAGATTAGAAGTGTTATTAGAGAGTAACATACGAGAAAAAAAAAGGGAGAGATAAGGACAATAGAAGATGTTTGATAGGAAAGAAAGAGCAAACCACACAACAGCACCCGCCAACCACCCATGAACAAGAGTGTTGGGAAATAAATTAGTGAACAACAAAAAACAAACTTAAACAAAAATAAAAGTTTGGTCTTTAAGTTGATGTTTGAGGAAGTGGGAACTAAGGAGGTGGGCTGAAAGGAAAATTATGTCCCAGCAGAAAGACTGGAATCCTTGATAGAAATTCTCCCCATTTGAAAATTGAACTCAGATCTTCTATTTACGATAGCTATGCGCCTTATTGCTAAACCACAAAGACTGGTACTTCTCTCTTGCATACACAAGCAAGCATGTAGACAAATAAACCTGCAAGTACACACCTGTAACTAAACACACACACAAACAAACACAGATATCATTTTTTTGTTTTTTTAAACCAAAATTCCTGGCCACTTACTGGTTCCTTGGACCATTTGTTCGGTATCGGGGGCCTCTGTTGTTGGACGCCCACCACCTGCCTCATCTCCTCAAAGCTGGGGTCAGCCTGCACCACGTCCCAGAACGGCACCCGGTACTCTTCCGCAAAAGCTGTAGATGCATAAGCATGCTAGTCATTACCACTGATAATATATTAGCTCTTTGACTTCTGAAATACAATTGAACCTTTTCAAGACAACCACTCATCGTCAAGAAGATAAACGGACATCTTGGGACAGGTGGTCCTCTAGGACAGTGCCATTATAACTATAATATTTTTAGAAATGCAAGGACGGAAGTGGGAAGTGGTCGTTTGTACAGGTGGTTGTCTTATACAGGTGGACGCTAAAGAAAATTTCACTGTACTGCCAGATGACCTATTCACCAATTATCAGTAAAGTTGCACTTATCAGGGAAGCTTGCACGTCTCCTTTCTCATCTTTCTCTTTCATACCCCAAAACAAAATGAAATGGCTCTTCTTATTATTAAAAGTAAGAGAATGTAATGGATTATCTTATTACTTAAGGTAACAATAGATAATGGTTCTTCTTTTTCTTTAACGGAACAAGAGTGTAATCGTTTTCATTAATTTTTCCTAAATGGAATGTCTACAGAAAGCAACTATGTGAGACACTTTACCCTGATTGAGAGAAAGACAGATGGACAAACTCAACAACACATTTTCCCTGTATGTAAAAATCAAACTTGCAGCTTTTGTGAGCAAAGAGGTGAACAGAGAGAAGACAGGCAGCCTTGTCCTCTACATTTCATGACATAATGTAGAGAACACAAGAACAATTTGGCAAAACAAATCGCAGCAAAATAGTAATCATGAACATTTTGTTAAGAAAAACACATGACAACTACCAGCATAGAAAATTGAAAATGTATCTATCCCAACATAACACTACTATCATATTTCGGAATAGTCAAAAGCGCAGAGTTGCACAAAGTACAGTTTTCAGTTTACATTATTGATGCTTTGCTTCCTCTCTGAAAGCTGTATTTTATGTACGAACATCACTGAAATTATATTGCAGAAAGCAGTTACTTCGATTACACGTAGATCTTGAACTGCTTAAACTCCTATTTTAATTGTGCTGTGATAGTATGAATGTCTGCTAATGTATTAGCATTAACTCTTATTATACGTATGGCTAATCTTCCTTTGTACGAAACCAATTGTGTCGTTCATGTTTTCAACACCATAGCCTTCCTTATAACCCCGCTCCTGTTTCACCTATTTACTTTAAAACCAAATCAAGTAGAAATAAATTAAATGATCAACGCAGTTTAATATACAGTTTAATTAGAGGTAAGATGAATTTGAGAGGTAGAATTTTGCTACGACTGTGAAAAATCGAATGATCTCGGGAGCCAGCTGAACTGGCGGGCCGTATACTAAGAGTCAATCTAAAAAGCGTATGTGTGCAAGTTCATTCACTTGTATTTTGTATGAAGATGAAGGTACTGAAAAGTACCAAGAGCTATAGTGTATAGTTCGGGAATGGGCGCTGCAGAAATTATTATAATTATTATTATTATAATCATTATTATTATTATTATTAATTATTAATATCGTTATCCTTATTACTTTTACTCCTGACCCATATTGGATACTTACGCCTTGCTCTCCGCGCAATCTCCCACATGACCAGGCCAAAAGCGTAGACATCCACATACTTGAAGGACTCAAAGAAATCAGGCTTCAGCTCCTTGTTAAGAACCTCAGGCGCCATGTAGCGTTTGGTGCCCACAAGCTGAAACAACACAGAGACATTAGCACATTTTCAGGCTGCACAATAACATCAGTCATGTTTGGCTATCTGACTATGATCAGTCAGTTTTGATTTCGCATTACCCATGAGAAGAAAAGTAAAGACAAAATACATAATTTTTTAAAACTGAACACTTACATCAAGGTATTAACTAACCATCACAGGATCAGATAAAAGAGATGCATACTTTTTACGAGTTATTATTTTCTTTCGCCATACGGATTAAATTAGAGAGCATGTTGTGAAAAAAAAATCATCACAACCAAGCAACCACATAGAGAGAAACAGACGAGTAGTTTCAGCTTCAATTTCCTCATTTCAACTTGAACAGACAGAAGTATCAGCATTCAAACTTTGCTTGTTGATGAAAGTTTGTATTTTCTTAATTAACTGCTATAATAAAAAGGTTCAAAATTTTTCAAATGTGCAACTCTATAGCTGAAGTCTCTCCCATTCCTCCTCCTCCTTTCAAAATCAATAAGCTAAAGAAGGAAAAGACCAAGCCTTAGAAATATCCACAAGATCCCGACAGACTCTTGGTGACCACCTAGGGACTCATGACCCAGTTTGGAAACAAGAGCCAAATATCCAAGACTTAGTTTTCCTGCTCACTCTACTAATCGCTCACACCTTCTAATGACCAACATCATTTCTTCAGCTCCTTCACCAGTGTCTTAGTACCAGACTTTAGATTAGTTTTAGTAAGAGTTTAAAGGCCCTTGCAACACAATAAGGTCATACAGGTGTGGAAGATTAGAGGTATTACAAGAGAGTAAAATACACCAAAAAAAAGGAAGAGAGATCAGGACGATACATGCTTGATAGGAAAGAAGGAGCAAACCCAATCAGAGCACCCACCAACCACACGCGGTTCGAGACCCAGCCCGTAAACCACAGCAGTAAATTCATGAACCAGTTCTAGTTTCCCCACTCACTCTCCTAATCCCTCCCTCCACTTAGGCCATTCCCTTGTTCTCCTGCCAAACTCACCAGTTTCTCAGGGGCAGCATCCAACTTGACATCACCACGCACTGCATGACCCAGGTCCCCAATACAGCACTGGCCATTGGACTTCACCAGGATATTTTTCGTCTTTATGTCTCTGCAAAAAGTCAAAGATCTTCACTCAATTTCGTTAAGTTTTTACAGAACTTTTAGTCTCAACAGGGTGTTCTGTTTCTCTCGGACAAATACTGAAATCTGTATATGTTTTCATTATGCAATGCAAAAGACAAAAAATCTAAAGGAGGAAGCATATTGCTTATGTAATGGTCTAGTATAAGACATAAGGAAATATAGAAGAGGCATTAATAGGTGAACAAGTATGGCCTTTCAAAACACCTGTGATAATGAGACAACTGAGTTCTAGCTTACAAGAAGTATGACGAACAATTTTTTAAAAGCCACATTTTTTTTTCCTGAACACATCAGCGCAATAGCAGCTCTTTCTTTTAACACTGAACAGAAGAAAAAAGAGCAAACACCGCAAAACCCACCAACACCCACTGAGAGTGAGCCCTTACCCTCAGGTGCAAAAAAAACATTGCAGTTAAAGAGTGGAACAAACACCAGTTTCAGAAAAGACAGGACAAGAAACACAACATGCGGGCAGTGATGAGAAACCAAAGACAAACTTCAGAAAAACACAAAAAAAGAACAGTGACTGACAAAAATTAACAAAATGGCAAGAAAAGGACCACAGTGGAAGACATCACAGCCCGAATAATGGAAAAGAACATAAGACAATCGATCTTCTTCAATTAAACGAAAAAGTCATAACAGATTAACCTGTGAGTGAACACGTAACTATAGCATCTCAATTGAAAGAGCTGCACAAGTGGCCTACCATAGAAAACTGCATCTTCCCGTAACCTCAATAGTAACAAAGGATGTAAAAGTAAAAGAAAAACACATATACAAAACTGAGAAATAAAGATAGGAACCTGTGCGCTATAGCTGGCTTCCCGTGTCTCCCAGTGCCCTCCTTGATCTCCGTGTGTAGATGTGCCAAGCCCGCTGAGGCTGAGTGTGCAAGGATCAGCATCTCCTCCATGTCAATATCGCTGCACTGTAACGCAAGGCACAGACATTACATTTTCACATTCCAGAAGATTCCACAGCACAAAAAAGGTCTCATCATTTCTTCTTCTAACTAGACCCAAAAAATTCAACCTATAAACTTAACACTTTCAGCAATCCGAAACAAAACTTAACCCATAGTCAGAAACACATACACCATAACTTTTCCTTTGAATATTAAACTGCCGCAATACAAGATAGTTTGTTTCTCGTCAGTAAGCAAAAACAAACTGAGAAAAAATCAAGATTAAAGAACGAATGCAGCAAAAAACTTACTCACAACAACATAAAATGATGACATAAAGCTGTACATCCCAAAATACACTTGAGCTTCCATAAACCACCAGTAATGTACCAGTTACTAACTACTGCTATACAAGTAACAACAACATAACACATTTCAAAGCTCCTAAATTCAAAACATTTCTGGAAACTACCCTACTCTCTATCTCTAAAGTCAGCTGTTCATGCAGTTTATAAGTTTAAGGTGAACAGACACTATTACAACCACAGTCGGCAACAAACAGACCAGAATGAAAAAATTATTTCAAAAACTTTTTAAAAATGTTTTAAAGACTTCATTTGAGCAATCATCAACCAAAAACTTACCTGCAGGTAATCGTAAAGGGAGCCGTTCTCGTGATAGTGCACTATGAGTAGATTGTGCGTACAGGAGTTCATGCCCACCGTGTCGGAGGCGTAGTAGCCCAGGATGTTCTCGTGTCGCAGCATCCCCGTGTTGTAGATCTCCGTCTCCTGGTTCCAGCTGGTCTCCTCCAGGGAGGTGAAGACTTTTACTGCCACATCTTCGTCAAGCCAGACGCCGCGCCACACAGCACCAAACCGACCCTTACCTAAAACATTAGACACATATACCCTTAGAGACAAGCACTTAGAATTACAGTTGAACATGCTCTAAGAGTACCAGCCACCTGTCCACAACAATCATGTGTACATTTTTACTAAGAATTTTACAGCACTTGCAACAAAATACGCTCAAACAAGTGCCTTAGAATAGAATATAAAAAACAGAACAGTGTTGAAGCTTTCAGTCAGTGATAAGGCTTTGAAACACATGAATGAGCAATATGAATAAGAAATCCTCAGACTTGAAAGTCTGCAACACCAGTATTCAACCAGAATAAAACTGATTTTATTTTTTCAATATCTTATCAAGAGACTGTACTTTGATGCTCACAGAAATTTCCCAATTGACTTACCTATCCTCTCCTTGTAGGTGATGTGTTGGCCTACTGTCCGACGCACCAGTGTTGGCCGACCGGAACCACTGCCAGCTGACCATTGATCCTGCAACACAGATCATAACATTCAGGTCAAAAGTACTGTTGTACTAAATATGCCAAAACACACTAGGAAATTAGAAATTGAAATTCTACCAAGCCTGCTGATACCATATTGAAAAAGACTAGTTATACATGTGCAGGTCAAGCAATAAGTACATGACAGGAAAATATTGCTCACTTCTCGTTACTGAGTTTTAAAATACTTAATTATTATCGTAAACATGTCCAAATATTTCAGATTTCATATATATTATATATATATATATATATATATACATATATACATATATATATATATATATATATATATATATATATATATATATATATATATATATATATATATATATATACACATATATGAAAATGGTTCCAACAAACAAATTTTAGAAAAACATTATTCCAGTGGAATGAAATGTAGAACACATCTGACTGAATTGAATCCCTGAGTCAAGCTTAATTTGGAGTTTACAGGACAAAGAGTGTCTTCTCTCTTCCTTTCTGTGAATCAAATCAAAATTTTGTAAACTGGAATGGAATTTTTAAACAAATTTTTAGGCTCTGCATATAGCCAGATACTTGACTGATATTTCCAGTGGTCTAAGAAATGTACCTGGTAGCCTTTCCCTGACAAGTCTTCCTCCAGAAGTCTGGCCTCGGGAGCCATGAAAAGGCTGCGCTCTCTGCGCTTGCGCAAGTGTCGCTGGATCAACACAATGATGAAGAACACGACAACACATAAGAGTAAGACACCGGCTGCAGATGCAATGATGATGGATGTTGAGTCCAGAGTATCGTCTCCTCCTGTAGGTGAACACAGAGGAAAGTGATGAGTACAACTATGGTTTTATTCAATTACAGTGTCAGCCAAGATGACTGACGTGAGTACAACTTTACTCCATCTCTACTTAGTCGTGGGACATCAGGAGGAAAAAAACGTCAGATTTTAAATGAGACGTCTGAGAAAGACTATGGTTTATTGTATATTTTTTTTCAGTTTCAGAAAGATTTATGGCACTTGCAACACCAACAAGTCATTTAAGTGCCAAATATTAAAGGTGTTACTAGAGAGAATGGAAGGAGGTTTGAGTCTGAGTAAAGAAATACACATCTACCCAATTGTGGACACAGAGGTCGAGAAAAAGAAATTAGGACAGAAACAACAAAGAGGAAAAAAAGCAAGACTTGCAAGTGGCATCCTCCAACCACCAGGAAGAAGAAAAAAAAGTTGACCTCTTCTTAGAGACAAAGACATCAGCCAGAGGGTCATGGCTTCACATGGCTTCAACAGAGGTCAACATTTGAACCGCGGCACAAAAGGCTAAAGATAACCAGCCAACAGGACAGGAGAGTCAAGATCAGTCTCAAGAAGTAAGAAAGAGACAAAGCAAGAAAGGCATATAAGCAAAATCTGAAAAGACGAAAGACGGCACCGCAGAGCATAGAATAACAACGGATTCCATGTAGTCACTGCAACCGACATGCATTAGTCAAGCAGTCACATGCTTGATCACAAAATTTTAAAGAATAATATTATTGTCTGTTGAGACACAACGGTGAATATAAGAATATAAGTTATAACTACAGACCAAACAAATTGTATTTGGACAAAGAGAGACAAGGGACAGATAACAATGGGGAAGCTCTGAAGGGTTGTCAAACTGTGGTCAACATGATAAGAGGCACCTTTAGCCAGGAGCAGATTAGGACAATACAAACATTGATAAAAGAAGAAGGTGAAGACCAACACTTGTGGCCCTTAACCACTTGTGGAAGTTAGACAGAGAAAGGAAAGTTGGGAAAGAAGTAAGAGAAAGAAGGGAAAAGCAGGAAATTAGTAAGGGAAAAGAGGGAAATACAGGAAAGAAGTAAGTGAAAAGAAAGGGACAATTTTAGGGAAGAAGTGAGGTATATCATAATATTAAGTAAAAATCAGTATCTACAATTTAATACTTCTTGGAGCATCTATTTTCTTCTTTACCAAGGTGGTTTTATTTCATTTATGTATGACACTGTATCAAATTATTTTTGCGTAGAAGAGAAGAACTAGAATGACTTAGCGAAGGCGGTAAAAACCTGATCACTAGAACATTCTTCCTGTAACTAAGAGAGTTCTACCATTTCATGCACCAAGAACAGACTAGGATAATAATAAATTAGAATAGAAGTAGTATAAGGAACTGACCACACTACACTGCCACACCCACCAAATGCCTGCATCACTTCAGGGACAAGACCGAAAAAATAAAAAATGAGAAGAAAAAAAGATCGGTCAGTTGAGAGTTGGGTGTGTCCACAGTCCACAGCACACTATCACCCTCCAGCCACTCTGTAAGAACCCTTCCCAACGATACAAGTCCATACCTAAGTACACATTCTCTTCCACATACTCTTTCCCCCAAGAGGTTGCGAGGGACCTACTAATAGTTCTCGGGTCCCACCATCAGAAGGCATAGGTCCCTCACTTGTGAAGTGCCACTCCTAGTCCATAAGCTCTCTCCCATACTCTCTTTGTGTTCTGCACCCATTCTCTTTCTCGGGCTGATGTGTCAATAACCTCAGAAGGTCTACAGCTCTTCGAAAGAGCTACTTCTGTCCAGCAGGTCATTGGCCTCTTACCAAAAAAACAAAAAAAATGAAACAACAAAATGTGTGGTTGGAGTTTGCTTTGGTGGGGTCTGCTCCTTCTCTTTTATCAAACATCTAGTGCCTTTATCTCTTCTTCTTTTCTTTGCATGTTGGCCTCTTACAACACCTTTAACCTTCAGCACTTACATGACCTCCTTGTGCAGAAAGTATCGTAAAACTCTTACTAAACAACAAAAACAAGGACAAAACGTACCCTCTCCCCCGACGACGGAGGGCAGCGTAGGTTGTAGGTGTTGGTTGCACAGGTTGGTGTCGCAGCACTTGAAGGCGCTGTACTTGGACATCTTGGACTTGCAGTTGAGGGCCGACTGGTCCTCCAGGAAGCAGTTCCGCACCACATGTTTGGTGATGGGGTCCTCGTACGCATAGCACTGAAGACGGGTAGGAGAGTGAGGGAGTGGTGATAAGTTTTAGTTAGTGTTTTAAAGACACTTGCAATAAAATAAGGTCAAACAAGTGCCGATGATTAGAGGTGTTAAAAGAGAGTACCAAACACAAAAAAGAAAGGAGAAATAAGAACGATAGATTTTTTATAGGAAAGAAGGGAGTGGTGATAAGTTTTAGTAAGTGTTTTATGGCACATGCAACACAATAAAGTCATACAAATCCTGAAGATTAGAGGTGTTACAAGAGAGTAACAAACACTAAATGAAGGATAGATAACAACGGTAGATGTTTGACAGGACAGAAGGAGAAAACCTTACCAGAGCACCCACCAACGACCCACTGATCATAAATAAAAGGTATCTTTATACCAATTGCCTAGTGTAAGACTCCGCCCTGCGCTATTTTCATTTTAGTAAGTGGTTTACAGCACTTGCAACACAATAAGGTCATATAAGTGCTGAAGATTAAAGGTGTTACAAGAGAGTAACAAACACAAAAAAGAAGGAGGAGTGATAAGGACGGTAGATGTTTGACAGGAAAGAAGGAGCAGATCACACCAGAGCACCCGTTAACCACCCACTGCACCACTTTGAAAAGTGATGTATGAGAGAGTTTTACACAAAGCAGTCAACATAATTGTAAATTGTAAATGTTATACAGTCGAGATTGGTCCGATATTGGTCACACCTTGTGGAAGAGATAAGGTTGTCTTAGGCAGGTGAACGTCTTAGACAGTGTTATTATAATATAATAAAAAACACAAGGGAGGAAGTTCAGAGTGGTAGTTTGTACAACAATGACCGGCTTAGACAGGTGGCCGCTAGAGCAGGCTCTCTTGTACTTCAGTTTTCAAATACAAAAAAAAATGGTTCTGACAAATACATTTTAGAAAAATATATAATTCCAGGGAAATGAAATGTAGAACACATATCTGACCGAATCATCATGTCAAGCTTAATTTGACACTTGCAGGAAAAATAATGGGTGGGGAGTTTAGGGGGTTTTTTGGTCTCTTTTCTTAGTATTAAATTGAATTTATTTTCAACTGGTATAAAACATTTCTGGTGATATTTTGGGCCTTATCTTGATATTTGACACATACCCCCGTACAACCCACACTGAGAAGGATGTAATGTCCTTGCAGACTGGCGGATACATTTGACCAAAAAAACCTCCCCATGCAGAAATCGAGATAATATAAACAAGGTAGGCCTACCAAGCCAATAGAACAAAATGTACTATGAAAATAGAAGAAGCAACCAAACCTGGCACCCCCCTCCCCAACCTTCAAACCAACCAAAGGAATATCCAGATAAAAAACAAGACGCCAAACAGATAAAACAATAATTAAAAGCAAGAGGGAAGAACCCCCCCCCTCCC